TTTCAAATTACTATTTCAAAAAATTTAAGTTAATGCACAAATTCTATAGACTTAAAAAAAATTATGCAATTTTAAACACTACTAATAGAAAGTATTGGTGATCAGAACTTTAAATAATAATATTTTGGAAGTGAACTTGCAGCGTTCTTCCTTGCAGCCACAGAATTAATTGTGTAATTATGCTTTTTATAAGAATAAATATTATTTTATATATATAATATATTCTATATACATCTGTTTAGAATAAATAACTAAAACTAACCTTGGAGACTATCATTTGGTTCTCCATCATTATAATACACTATAGAGTTTGGACCTAAAATACAAATTCAAGTGAAGTTATAAACACTTGATGAACTTTTAAATAAAATTTATGTTTAACTATTTGCTTAAATGAAAAGTTATAATTTTTTTTAATACATTTATGAACATTAATGAAGGTAAAAATTAGGGATGCCAATCTAAGGCAGATCTTTGAAAGATCTATCTTTTATGGACATTTTTATGGATGTCAATCTAGAGCTAATTTTTGAAAGATCAATCTTTTATGGGCATTCCTGGTACAAATTGCATTGTACAACACATAATATAACTTACTGGAAGGCTCTGAACAGTCAGAACCATCGGAAGATTCACTTCTTTGCCTTGTATTTACCTGATTCCATGCTAAAAAATAAAACTGTAGATTTAATACAATTTTCTATAGATGTGCAACATTATATGTAATGCAAAATATATAAAAATACATGTATATATTTTCCCATAGATTTAAAAAGTTGTAAAAGAGCATTATAAAATTGTGTATATATTCTAAAGTATAACATTAAATTTTTTCAACCTACATTCATAAACAAATTTAATAAGTTCCTCATGTTGTGGCGTGATAACTTCTTGCATTTGATGCCTATGCGAACTGAGTTTAGATTTTCCATTCATATGAAAGACTGGCTTAGGTACATGCCTGCAAATTCAAAATTGATTTTATTATATATATATACATATAATATATATATATAACAGTAAGAAATATTTCAAGCCGTGTATTATATAAACGTTTTGTAGTACACATGTGTGTATGACATTTTATGTATAACTTTAATTGTGTAAAATTTCTAACATAGAGATAACATTGTTTTCGATGAAGAATTATGAATTGCGTAATGCTTAAAGTACAAGGAGAGAGGGAGAAAAGTAACAAAGTAGGGTTAAGATGGGTTAGGGCACTACTTACCGGGTGGTCTCGTGGTTATCATCAGGATCTGCTTTACGCGTTAAATCACGTAAAGTTTCCAATCTCTCAAGATTCTGACTAATTCCTGAAAAATTATGATGTTACACGAAACTAATGTCATAACTGTTTCTATATTCAAGTGTACACATAAAATATAATGATAATCGTTATATTCGTACCTCTACGAGTCTTGGCGACAATTTTGCTAGGCCCTTTTGATACAGTATACATGTTCCACGTGAGGAGAGCAGAATAATAATTGTCTATTCAAATTTTGATACCAAACCATCCGAAAATTATCTTAAGTTATTATTTTTGAATTAAGTAATTTACACAAAATTCCAAATAAGCAGTACCGAATGGATCAACCGCACGGGTTGAAATGATGAGCATGAAATACACGATGGGTGAACCACGTGACCTTAGCTCGTGGTATCGCTCGACTATGCAATAGATATATATGTATGAACATACATATGCATATATGTACAGTGAACATATTATGTGCATACATTAACACATATATATCCATTCATATACGTATGTGAATAGATGCATATGTGTGTATTCACATCAATGAAACAATTTGAAAAATTTTCAATGCAAGTGCTACTACATACATATACATATGCAAATATCTTGTATGAATATGCAACTATCTCATTTGATATTTTTAATTGAGATCTAATTATTCAAAAAATACCTTTACATTTTGCCAATATGTAGTACATACATTTCTTATATGCACTATTGTATATGAAGTGTTTGGCAACAGGTGAGAAAAAATTGAAAATGCAATTCCCCATGTGATAATACATACTTATATCAAAAACTAAAATCAAACTAGATAATTACGGATTCGACTTTGTTCTTTCAGTATGTATTAACAATTGAAAATTTCTCTGATTCGCCGATAGTGGCGCGCGTGTGCCTGGTTAGTCTGTGGTAAAAGCGCATGGCGCAGATTGATTTGCATGACATTATTGGCAGTCACTTATTGTCAATAACTAAAAAATAATAACGAAATCGCAACTTTATTGCTTCTTATTTTTATCTAGCATTGCCACGAAAGTCACGATTTAAATATTTGTCCACCTGTTGCCATGTATACTCTTGTATACATATATGTATGCGTATTGTAGCAGCGACATCACAGTAGAATTATTGAAATAATAATATAAATATTTCTATCAAAGGTAAATAGAAGCTTCGTGATCATAGTATCTATTCGTACCATCTATACTGACGGATTAAAAGTGGATTTTATCAAGATATTTTGGAACTTATTAAGAAGATTTATTGTAATTTAAGAAATAATGTTACAAGTAACGAATTTCATTGAACATATAACAAGCTTGTAATTTTAAAAGCACAACAAAATTCATCGAAGTGCAAATTAATTACAATTAATTTTGCTACGTGCGATAACGAAATAATTACTTACATAGAATAGAGCAATAATTCTGAGACTCATTATTTATAAAACGGATTATAATCGCTTGTATACAGGGTATTCCGTAAGTGGTTATTAAATTAATAAAGATCTGATTGTATATGTACAAATAAGAAAATTGATGTGGCATAATAAAATTTTTCAATTCCACATTTATTCTTAAGGAAACCAATTTTAAATATACCGACGAAACAGATAACATCCTCAGCGATTCGTAAAAGTAATAAGATTCGTCGTGCGTGAATATCCTGCTTTATTGTGTATTCTTGATTATTAAATACAATAAACAGAAAACACGAGCAGAGATAGTAGTCTACACAGCGAGATCCGTTAAATCGAGAGACACGGTAAAGCAAGCATGCAGTTACGAAACGCTGCCCTGCACATGACCCGTCAATTCAGTTGACAAAAGTAAAGAAATTTTTGTTCTTTTAGGTTTTGATTTACATACGTATCCGATGTATGATAAATATGAAAAAAGTGTAAGCTTATGTACATTCTACCATAATAAAACTTAGTGCACTTAATGCTATGGTGATAGTTACTATTTCTTCAAAGTAATACATTATTAGCAAAAATATTTTAGTATTTCATTTTAAAATAAAATATTCACCATTGAAAAGAATACAATTTAGTTCATAATTTTATAAATTCAAACATTCGAAGATAATCTTCTATAATTATTATTTTGCATTCTTTTTTCCTTTTTATTATCACATTCATAAAATTGCATAAATAATCGTGATTCTATTTATCGTATTGACCATTTCGTTGAAATGAAACTGTACTTTTAAAATCACAAACATAAGAATTGCTTGGTGTCAATGTTATTCCTATAGCATAGCTTCAGAACGTATTACATAATTACTTGCAATAGCAGTACACATGATTGTAACAATACTAGCAATAATAAATTTATATTACTCTATGACAATAATACTCTTATGAAAATAAAAATTACTACATTAGTAAATACATATCATATTTATACATAATATCAAATAATAAAGACACAGTTCAATTTAACATAGAAAAATACTTTCGTCTATAGTTCGATTAAAGTTAATCATTTAAAGAAATATTTGCCGCTTTTGCATTCGGTTTGCAAGTCGGAAAAATGCAATGGTTATAAATTATTAGTTTTCATGTGACATTTCAAGGTATGAGATACAACACATTGCGACATAAATGTTATTTTTGATATAATGTGTTATATTTCATACATACAGATAACATAAATTAGTATTTCTATGTTCATGTTATATACTCGTATAACATTTATACGTAACGATAATTTTTATATGTAAAATAAGTTACTCGTTATTATGAAATTTTTACATCATAAAGAAATGCTAATTTACGGTCGCATAGTGTCAATTACATTTTTAAGTACATACAAGCGGATAGCGTTCCTCTTCTGTAACATTTTCTTTTTATTCCGAATTCAATTTTTTAATGTTTCAAAAATACCGAAGATGTTAGAAACATTAATTTATCAGAGATCTCCGATGACTGAATCATTTCAAAATGAATGTTTACCTTCTGTATAAGAAATGTAAGCGTTAAAGCAGTATTTAAAGAGCAAATAAAGATTTATCCTGATCTTTATTAATTTGACGCTGAATGTTTGAATTTCCGGAATTGGTAGTACTTCCGGTAGTGGTAGTAGTTGTAGGCAAAGTTGGTAAAGCTTCAGCCGCAGCTGCTCGTTCTGCCAAAAAACGTTCAAATTCGGACGATGTTAATGATTCCTGATCGCCATGTGCTCCTGGCTAAAAAGAAAAAAGAGAAAAACTATTAATAAATATGAATTATATTCTACAGGTATAGATTGTAGTTTACTGTATGGAGTAATATAAAACATTTTTTAAAAATATTCGAAAGCGATGACATGGCATTACATAATTTCTGAACAATTATAGTATAACAATCGAATTTCACAAACAAAACAACATTTGCACTACACATAACTCACCGTGTGGTCTAACCAGGCTGCCATTTCATTAAATTCAGACTCCCGGTTCAGCTATATATCAAAACAAAGAGAACATAAAATAAGAACGAACACATTAAACAAAATACAACAGAAACAAGTAAATATATGCACATATATAGGCAAAAATAAAGCATAAGGAAACGTAAGAAATAAAATTGAACTTTTCATGCTCTAAAAAGCTATGCATCAAAAGTAAGCAACTCTGGATTTATTGGACTGAAAAAAACGTGATGACTGACTTTATTATAAAAACCAATAAATTGTGATATCCTTACCTTTTATTAGGACAGATAATTTTAAAGTTTATTGTATAAATTTATAACCGAGTGATTTAAATGTGCATAATAACATTTCAACAAAAAAAAGATTAATTAAAATTTAAAAGAGCACCTTTAGTATTCGTAGTAAACTTACTTTTTGTGAGTAAATAAAAAATATAATATACTTCTATTAGCTAAATGCTTTGCAATAATGAATGTAGTAAGGGTAGGGTTTACGCACAGAAGTAGCAGTAGTAGAAGCAACTGTAGAAGCATTCTGATGAGGATATTTAGGACTATTGCGATTGAGGATCGCGGTATTGAGGCTTCCTCCGCTCACCTGCTCCAAATTGTCCTCATACTTGCTACCACTGTAATAAATATAAGTTAATGATAGATACTATAGAATTCCTAGAAAAATTCAAAAAGTTTATGTTAATATTAGAAACCTGTTCTTTGTCGTTTCATATGTTGCGTTGCGCGACTGTGCAAACATATCAAATTCATCATTATCACCTTCCTTCCTTTCCTTGCGTTCAGTTCTATTTTTATCGCTACTTTCAGATATACCTACAATTTAATGTGACATGAAGTTATCATGTACCTCATATGTACCTCTCTATTCAATACGAATAAAATGTACTTACCCATTCCTGTTACCTTCTTCTCCAAAGCATCAGTTTCATCAGATAAATCTATAAGTGAATCTGCTTCTTGTTTCTTAGAAGCTGTCATAGAATCACCATTTGGTGGGTGACCAATTGTTTGTGCTAAAATGGTTCTAGCAGCCACTGCTACATTTTTTGTATATCGTAAATAACGTAAAAACAAATTATTTAATTCGTCGTTAATGCGCAATAATTCTGCTGTCATTTCATCATGTGCTAGTTTTCCAATTAAATCAACAACTCGTTCTTGCATCAATTTACATGTTGAATGTAATTCCTACAACATGGAATTATTTCAATATAATTTATAAAAATCAATGAAAGATTGTATAGTATATGATACATTCATACATATTCTGTACAATATATACGTACAGTTAGGAGTTCTAGATCTGCAGCATCTGGTTGTTGATTGTTACTTTGATCCGAACTTGTAAAGTATGCCAACATTTCTGATAAAACGCGCATGTTCTCTTGTACAAAATCAAGTTCGCTTTGTAATTTAGCCATCTGATGTTCGTTCAACTGAGTCACTTGTAGCGATGGTGGAATTTGAGATTGTTGAACTTGCGTCGTCGAAGATACAGATTGTTGTTCAGCTGTGGGAACGTTAACATTACTCTGCTCCAACTCAGGTACACTCTATAATAGTAATTACGCATGAAGAATAAAAAGTTGTATTCTAATTGATTCGAAATTTCTTAATATTATGACAGTCTTACTCTTTCTGGTGTAATAATAGGGGCCAAAGCATCCAAATCTGTCATTGGAAACTGTATACCTCTTACTTTTAATTCTTGATAGACTCTTACAACTCCTTGCGTATGTGGCTGATGACGGAAAGTTTCTGCCCATGTTTGAATCAAACTCAAAACTTTCTCTTGTACTGCAGTTGGTGGCTCGTTTTTTGGGCCAATTAGTTGAACGAGTTCTTGTACAAAATCTCGTGAACAAGCAAGAGAATGAAAACATTTCCCACAATTTTTTACACATGTTTCCAGTACCTGAATTCATCAATATTATTTTATGAAAATCCATGCATGTTATCGTTGCTATAAGTATATATATTATATTAACAAAGTACAATTAAAAGATAGTGCTGAATTTCATTATATACATATATAAATGTAGGATATTTCTTTATTTTTTACTTTATATCATTATTTCATTTTTGTTCTATTAATCTATATTTGATACGTAAGTATAATATTGCGGGAGTTAATTTCTCAAAACCTGATCCTACATAAATATAAGCAATTACTAGTTTACAAAAACGAATTAAAATTCTTATCAAATATCTGTAAGCATGAATTATTACTTAAATAAAAAAATAAATACATTTCAAATTACTTTATAATATAAAAAATACTGTATTTATCTTGTTCAAAATATAAAAATAATACCACATATTTAAATACTAACAGTGAGAGTATACATGAATATAGTATAATTTTTTCCAGCAGATTGATTGAGTCTACGCTTAATTGCTTTAATTGCATCTCTTGGCCCATCCTCTGTTTCATTGATAATATCACAAATTTCCATGTTAAGAGTCCAATTCTCACTTGGCAAACTACCGTCTGTAGCTTGCTCTGTAATAAAGCAGACAGTTATTATATGCATAAATAATTTTTACTTATCTTTTATGTAAAATATTTGATAGATTATAATTAAAGATATCATATATGTACATTATTAGAACAAGTTCGTAAAATACAGACATTGAAACATGTTGATATACGACCAGAAAAAGCTATTTACGTAATACTTATAAATTAATTCTTTGCGTATATCTAATTGATTAATATATGTAATATACTTAAACAAAGATAAATAAGAAACTTACCTATCTTCTGACCTACTGGTGTTGAAAGTGGACTGAGAAAAAACGACATTGTTGCACGATATATGGAACTGTTTCAATATTCAATAACGTAACTTTGACTCACTTGTGCATATATAAGGCACGTAACAACTTTTAACAGGAACAATATTTGATAATTTACAAATTTCTTGTTCCGCTGAATGACAGTATCATATGACCCATACTACGATATAGACAGACGTCAAAGTGTCAAAAACACAACCAATCATATACAGTTTTTCATATATTGTATTATGATTGGTTATAGCTTTTTTAAAACGCAGTTATATAGAAAACAAATTTCGACCTAAAAATGGACGAAAATATAGATTTCAATGAAAATTTCTTAGTAAGCTTAAAAGTCTAAATACAATTAGATGTTCATAAATTCGACGTACGACAAAGACTAAATGTATTGAATTAATATTACTTGAAATAGTTTTTAATGTAAGAAATTCCAAAGATAAAATAGGAATCAAAATTTGTACAATTTACATTTCACTTAAAAATATAAATATATAACACAATCGTATCTATATAAATACATACACGTATGTATGCATGTAGACTTGCAACGTAGATGCATCATACTCTACACAAATTAGTACATATGAATGTGTACGTAGATAATTTCTCTAGTGGCGAAACAACGAAACAGCGGAACGACAAAAATGAGAGTCCTTTCTTATGCCGTGATATTTAATGATTGATTCACACACTCGCATTACAGAGAACAACATTTGCATGTGTACACACACACACATATATGTATTAAATATAAACCACGGTGTAAGAATAAAAGGTGGTCTGACGCCATCCCCACTCCTGTGATCTTAATAAGGCAATTCTGATTTTGCTCACTAGGTGCTCTAGCGAACCTAAGATTTCACTGACAAGAGCTTGTATGCGTGTAGTATCACATATATGCACCACAGCGAATAACTTGATATACTTTAAGCAATAACTTGGTACAAATACAATAATAGGTCTTACTTTTGCACACCTTCAGACCGTAGCTTGATCCGTTAACGAGAGTCGGTACAGAAATTTTCTTTATTCTGACTGGCTGACGATTCACTGTTGAGACAGGATTCACTGTGGATTGGGTGCACAGTAAAATGATGGAGATGTGCGCGTCACCTTAAGGAATAAAAAAAAAACATGCAGGAGTATGTCTCATTACTGTATACCAATTAATATATATATAAATTGTCATATAATTATTTATTATTAATGTTAGTTCATACATTCGAAACATATCTTAATGTGCATCGAGTATCGTTCGCAAATTCGCTGGCAAAGGTTGAGAATCCCACGAGGCGAAAAGTACAAGTTGAATATCGCGCCGCGTGTTTCTGATGGAGTACGTACGGATGCGCGAAATGAGTGAGACCGCAAACACGGTAAAACAAGAGGGTCTAGGTTTCTCGACCGTATGGACGCTTACCATAGAGCTCGCTGGATACGTTCTGCTCACGTGATCATCTCTAGTTCTGTTTCTAAAGCAACTGCACGAAGGTGGTCGTGCAATAGAATTCTTGGATTGGAGAAGAAGAAGTTCTTGAATTAAGAGACGACTGTACATATGTACATGTGCTATAATAACCAGAGGTTCGATACATATGTAATACATACTCATGTTCACTATTGCTCAGTACTCAGGCATATTTAAGTGGGTTAGGTGAGCTCCAAGCAAGTACATAAACGTAGCATAGGGTGCTTTAGTTTGTGGCACCTCAGAGCTGCTCAGTGTTACTCAGAACTCAGAGAGTATAGTTATGTATCTTCAGAAATCATATTCGTTTCAATGTCTCCTAATGTAAAATTATGAATTCTTCTGCTTTGTCATCTGGTACTTTGGGACATTCATCAGGGCAGAGAGCATCCGGATCTCAGGATTCAGAACTAACTTCTAATGGAAATCAAACATGGACAATCTTAAATCAGATGAATTCTAAATTACAAGAACGAAGGGAAAAGAGACTTTTACTTCAAGAGTTGCATCTAAAACGTGTTCAGTCGTTGAGGAAGGAATTAGATTATATTAAAGCAACAGAGTGGAGGTATCAGCCAATTGATCGGTATGTATTAACTATTAACATTTAGTTCTTGATGTTCTATTGAAGTATTAATTACAATGACATTTACAGGTATATGGATAGAAATAATAGAAATTGAACATGTTGTCGTTATTATATAACTTTGCAAAGTACGTTGTAGGAGATAAATTATCCACTAAAAGTAATGATATAGATGAAATTAACGATGTTATAGCTCGCATTGAAAGTATGAAGGAAGATATACAAAAAGAGGAATACTTTAATAAGAATGATGGTTCTTACAAAACTGGGAAAGTTACTTTTGTTTCAACTGATTATGTTATGGTTGATAATTTATATATATATGATGTAACAGAAGACTGTACAGTAAATAATTTAAAAATAGGTGATAAGGTTTATTATTTAAGCTTGAAAGAAGATCAAGAGAATGATTATAAAATAAAAAAAATTATTTATGTAGTAGATGAATCATGGGATGATATGGTTGCAGAATCTCAAGTAGAATTTAATGAAACAGATATATTTAGTAAATGTATGGTCGGCAAAGTAGTAGAATGCCAAAACCGACAGTTAATCATTGAACCGAATCGCATATCTGTTAATTTGAACAACGTACAATCAGAGTTTGTTCCTGTAATTGGAGATTGGTTACAGATAGAAGCAGATGTGAAGACTAGTAGTGACAGTTCTGATTTGAATGAAGAGATTTTAAAGATAAGAAAAATACAATGTTTACGATCAAAGTTGGACCTAGGAACCATAACCAGTTATGACTCTGTTAAAGAAATTGGTGCTATCGATAAAGAAATTGTATTTAATAAAAGAATATGTGATTCAGGTTATAATCCTTGTGTTGGAGATAAAGTAATCAGTGACAGTATTGAAAGTGACCAAGGATTTTATACATGGCGGTCATTGTCTGTTGTTCCAATAGTTCAAGTAAGTTTGAAAGTTTATATTTATTTTTGTTTTATTAAGTTCTCAAAAGTCTGAGACAACAAACATATTAAAAGTATTAATAATATTCAATGTGATAGAGAAAAGATTTATATTTTAGGTTTCAAGAAAAAATATTCTACCAACAATATGTAATACACCTGTAACAAAACAAAATTTGAATGAACTTTTGAAAGATAAATATGGAATAGTAATCACTGATAACTTAAATATTGATCTAAACGTGTTAGAAGAAAAGAAAATATCTGTTACAATAGAAAACACGAGTGACATACCCCGTGTATTAAAAAGAGGTTGTTTCATGATAAAGAAAGCTCAGTCACAACTAGAATTAGTGCAGCCAATAAAACCCAATACAAATTTGGTATTAAATCCTTCGACTACATTGACTTATATATTTAAATGTAAAGCAAAATTTGTTGGTATAAGTGAAGAACTGTTTACTTTTAACTTTAAAGATTTTGAAATTGGAAGAGTGTTTCGTATAACAGTTAAACCTATAAATACAGAAAAGAAAATATACTCTAACATCAGTAATAATACAGCAAGCAAAAAATATCATATACCTGATATAGATGAATGGGATCAATCAACATATATTCCAGGCATTCGGCCATGTAAACCACCATCATTTATTAAAGTACGTAATGCAATATTCAAAGTACCTAAGCGTTATTGGGATTTAATATTGTCATGTTTGAATGAAAAAAAGTCACAGTCCGAATGTATACATGATGTAGAAAATGCTGTACCTGTTTTATTAGGCAGACTTACATTTCAATCGTATAAAGACCGATTTCATGCTTTACTATACTTTGAAGAAATTACTCAAGCAATAAATATGCAACAATACAGCATTGAAAGTACAATTATGAGATCTTGTGGCGAATATTTGATGATGGAAGTACCTGGTCTTGCTGAGAAACGTCCATCACTTCTTATTGGTGACAAAGCTGTAGTATCCTTCAAATGGGATAGTTCTCATGGTATGTTTATAGCTATTAGTTCATTATGTGTAAGCAGTGCATGTTCTTACTATTTTTTTATATAACACTTGATATTGAATTTTATAAACAAAAATCTTATATTTGTCTTATGTGTTTGTTCATATTTAAAATAGGATCACGGAAGTATGAAGGGTTCATACATAAGGTTACAAGTTCAGCGATTTTTTTGAAATTTCACCAGAAATTTCATGAAGAATATAATAGTGAAGAGTGTCAGGTGACCTTTAAATGTTCCCAAACTACTCTACAGCGATGTCATAATGCGATTAATATAGCTACTAATCGTTTGGGACTGAACTTTTTATTTCCAACTTGTGTAACTGAAAAAGACTCTCAATTGAATCTTGAAGAAGATGAATTATCAAGTGAGATAATCCCAAAGCTGATGACTCATCAAAAAACTGATTCTATATCATCAGAGTCTTCTTGTACAAGTACTAATACATCCATGAGTAATAGATCTAGTAATACTTCAACCTCATCCAACAAAATATCAGTTGTAGAAAGGTTATTTAATGTCAAATCAACAGAAATCAGTCCAGACAAAAATTCAAAGCCGATAACATCAATCCTTTCTGAAAATACTGAGTTGGAACCATATATTTCTCAAGTGAGAAAACGAAAATTGATTTGGTTCAACAAAAGTTTGAATTACTATCAGAAGGAAGCTGTGAGGAACATACTGAAAGGACATGCACGACCATTACCTTATGTAATATTTGGACCTCCTGGTACTGGGAAAACTATTACGCTTTGCGAAGCAATTGTGCAGATATTTTCAACAATGCCAAGCAGTCGACTATTAATTGCAACACCATCTAATAGTTCAGCCAATCTAATAGCTGAAAGACTGTTAGATAGTAAAATTCTTAAACCTGGTGACATGGTATTTCATATACAAATTAAGTTCAAAATCATGACAATCAAATTTGCTTGTGTTTCATTAAGGGGGTATTCTGATAGTAGTATTTCTTTGTGAATTTTAAGACATACCGTTTAAATCATATGTTTTCGAAACCCTATTTTTTAAGAAACTAAGAGATTAAGAAGAAGGTAAATTTTCTTCAAACTTCTCGGTTAGAATACCTCCTTAAAAAACATTAATTTGTATAGTCTCATTCTTACTATAATAGTATGTATAAATAAAGTCAACTCGATCATTATTTACAGTTTGTATGTTTAATAGGTACGGCTTGTAGCTCATCACTGTATAGGCAGTGATTTAATACCTGACAAGTTATTGCCATATTGTGCTACTGCAGAATTAGCAGAAGAGGGGACACATGAAAGAAGAAAATATAATGGAGTAGGGCCAAGATTAAATTGTACTATGAGCATACTTGGACGACATAGAATTACTATTGGTACATGTATCGCACTAGGAATATTGCACAACATAGGTTTTCCTCATGGACATTTCACTCATGTGCTAGTTGACGAAGCTGGACAGGCAACAGAACCAGAAATTATGATTCCACTGAATTTTATACATTCCGATTATGGGCAAGTAGTGCTCGCAGGCGATCCATTACAACTCGGCCCAGTTGTACAAAGTAACATAGCTAAACATTTTGGCTTAGATGAATCATTTTTAGTGAGATTATTACGACATTTTCCATATCAAAAAGATCCTAATGGTTTTCAAACTAATTATGATCCACGTCTTGTCACAAAATTAATCATTAATTATCGAAGTTTACCAGAAATTGTTGAGTTATCAAGTTCCATGTTTTATGACTGCGAATTAAAACCACATGTATGTATGGATATAATAATATTATATGCTGTTAAAATTATACTTTATAAATTATTAATAGAGATCTAATCAAACAATGTAGGTATCCTCTGAAAATAGTAAAGAAGCAAATCTTTTACGCACATTAGCTACCGAATTACCAACAAAAGAAGGATCACCACCAGCCATAGTTTTTCATGGTATAGCTGGAGAAAATTGTAAAGACTACGATAGTCCTAGCTGGTATAACCCTGAAGAGGCTACGCAGGTATATCTTTATGTACTGAAACTGTACGAATGTGGTCTTCTGCCGAATGATATTGGAATTATAACTCCTTACCAAAAACAGGTTAAACATTTAAGATTTGAGAATTTCGAAAATAAATGTAAATTTATATCTTATTTATTCCAATTTTTTTTTCATAGGTTCTCGAAATTCGTGATTTACTTATGCAATTTGATGTGGAGTTACCAAAAATTAGTAGTGTCGAAGGATTTCAAGGTCAAGAGCGTAATGTTATCATCATCTCGGCTGTTCGGTCTTCTCTGAAAATTTGTGGAGATGATAAATATTCTCTTGGATTTGTTGCTTGTCCCCGAAGACTGAATGTTGCAATTACACGTGCTCGTGCTTTAGTAATAATTCTTGGAAATCCAAGACTTTTAGTTCAAGATCCATACTGGAGAAGTGTCTTACAATATTGTATCGATCATGATTCTTATACTGGTCTGAACTTCTTATTTACGTAACAAATACAAATAGATTTGAACAATCTCTTGGCACATATCATGATATACTAATTTTTTAAAATTTAGTCTTTTTTTGTACATGCCATTTTATATACACCATTATTCATCTTGTATTCCTCATTTTTTGTTTTTACGAAGAAATGACATCGATAATAATGATTAAAACAGTACTTTCAAAAGGAGTTTATTTTCAAATGTATTTCAAAATGTGTAATAAAATTTTCTTCAAAACGTTNTAAAATTTAGTCTTTTTTTGTACATGCCATTTTATATACACCATTATTCATCTTGTATTCCTCATTTTTTGTTTTTACGAAGAAATGACATCGATAATAATGATTAAAACAGTACTTTCAAAAGGAGTTTATTTTCAAATGTATTTCAAAATGTGTAATAAAATTTTCTTCAAAACGTTNATTATTGTGTAGTTTTGCTATATCTGCTGTGTGTTGTTAATGTTCAGCTTACGTTTGAAGGTACTTCAAATGCCTTCTTTAACGGTATCCATGCCTTCTTTACAAATCCAGATTCCAAGAATTTTTGTACTGTAAAAAAATTTAGTTTTTTTATAACATATGTAAATAAAACAATTTAAAATATTTGGAAAAACAACGTTTTTTGGTTTTATGTACAGATTTACTCGATCACTGCATAATATCTTACGTATTCTATATATGTTACTTTATATTATACGAGAGTGAAATGCATAAATTAACAATGTAATAATTAAAAAAGAAAGTGAATGAAAAATGATTGAAGAACCTAATTGAAGTTTCCAAAACAAAACGACGAAGAGAATTAATTTGAATTAATTAAATGACTGAAACCAAGGAAAACGCTGATGTGTGAAAAATGATTATGAATGATACTGACCTTATGTAGTTAGTTCCACATTATACTTACGGGATCTTGATTTTTAGCTTTTAGTTTACGTTCAATCAAGTTTTCTAACGCTTCACTTCGCACACTCAGTGTTTCAATTTTTTCAACTAGTTGTTGATATGGTGATGCAGGTTGTCCACCCATCACAACATGACCTAGTTTACTGTCTATTTTGGCATCTAATCTTGCATTACGTATTAAATTAACGATCCAACATTCTGCTACATCTGCTTTCATATTTAATTTCTCTGCTAACATTCTATAAGACAAAAATATATTGTACAAATATTCGAAATGTCTCCCTCTCTTATTTGTAATATATGTGAAAAATTATGTTACTGTACCCGATGCTGATACACTGATGAATACGACAGAATGTTTCAAAGATCATTAAACGANAGTAGTGTCGAAGGATTTCAAGGTCAAGAGCGTAATGTTATCATCATCTCGGCTGTTCGGTCTTCTCTGAAAATTTGTGGAGATGATAAATATTCTCTTGGATTTGTTGCTTGTCCCCGAAGACTGAATGTTGCAATTACACGTGCTCGTGCTTTAGTAATAATTCTTGGAAATCCAAGACTTTTAGTTCAAGATCCATACTGGAGAAGTGTCTTACAATATTGTATCGATCATGATTCTTATACTGGTCTGAACTTCTTATTTACGTAACAAATACAAATAGATTTGAACAATCTCTTGGCACATATCATGATATACTAATTTTTTAAAATTTAGTCTTTTTTTGTACATGCCATTTTATATACACCATTATTCATCTTGTATTCCTCATTTTTTGTTTTTACGAAGAAATGACATCGATAATAATGATTAAAACAGTACTTTCAAAAGGAGTTTATTTTCAAATGTATTTCAAAATGTGTAATAAAANTATGGAATTTTCAGAATTGTTTAATTATAGAATAAATAGGTTCCTTTTCGAATATATATTAAAAAATTTCGATGTGGAAAGTATATAAATTGTTCTTGCTGCAGATGTATATGTTACTAGAAATAGTATTTGTATCGCAATGTATATGAATACATTATATTCACGCAAATATATTTTTATTCTATCATTCAGTTTTTTACCAAAATTGTGAGAATAAAAACATATTCACGAATATATTATTGTGTAGTTTTGCTATATCTGCTGTGTGTTGTTAATGTTCAGCTTACGTTTGAAGGTACTTCAAATGCCTTCTTTAACGGTATCCATGCCTTCTTTACAAATCCAGATTCCAAGAATTTTTGTACTGTAAAAAAATTTAGTTTTTTTATAACATATGTAAATAAAACAATTTAAAATATTTGGAAAAACAACGTTTTTTGGTTTTATGTACAGATTTACTCGATCACTGCATAATATCTTACGTATTCTATATATGTTACTTTATATTATACGAGAGTGAAATGCATAAATTAACAATGTAATAATTAAAAAAGAAAGTGAATGAAAAATGATTGAAGAACCTAATTGAAGTTTCCAAAACAAAACGACGAAGAGAATTAATTTGAATTAATTAAATGACTGAAACCAAGGAAAACGCTGATGTGTGAAAAATGATTATGAATGATACTGACCTTATGTAGTTAGTTCCACATTATACTTACGGGATCTTGATTTTTAGCTTTTAGTTTACGTTCAATCAAGTTTTCTAACGCTTCACTTCGCACACTCAGTGTTTCAATTTTTTCAACTAGTTGTTGATATGGTGATGCAGGTTGTCCACCCATCACAACATGACCTAGTTTACTGTCTATTTTGGCATCTAATCTTGCATTACGTATTAAATTAACGATCCAACATTCTGCTACATCTGCTTTCATATTTAATTTCTCTGCTAACATTCTATAAGACAAAAATATATTGTACAAATATTCGAAATGTCTCCCTCTCTTATTTGTAATATATGTGAAAAATTATGTTACTGTACCCGATGCTGATACACTGATGAATACGACAGAATGTTTCAAAGATCATTAAACGAGCATTCTCTACAAATTCACCTAATAATGCAATCAAGAAAAAGTCATTAAATACAACTGTTTGACATTCTTGCAATTTTTGCCTTGCTCCATCAAAATCAAAATTGACATATAGATGTTCCAAAAATTCTGTAATTGGGTCACGGTATGTATACGATTCCTATTAATAAGATGAAAGAAGATAAAGCAAGATGATGATATGTTACATATTATAAAAGTAAATAGTACCAGTTATATAAATAAAACTTTCTATACCTGTTGTATTACTTTTACAAGATCTTTCAATATAGATCGCCTAGAACGATTGACAATGACAGCTGCTGCTAAATATCTCAATATATGAGGACACATTGTTTGAATAGCATTTAGGTAACTAAAATTTTTATATAAAATTTAATTTTTCTTTCTGTATTTGATACATTGTTCACAATATATCAGCGACAAAAATGTATACTTACTGTGGTCTATACAGAAACATTTCTATGATCAAATCTCTACCTTTCACATGATTGAAAAATACAAATAAGCTCCAATGAATGAGCCATGTTCGCTGTTGTAATATTTGAAGAGAATTTCCTATAACATTACTATCAATATATTCTCTTAGCTTGTTCACATCCTCTAATGCAGTTTCCCAGTTTTGTACTAAAATTTCTGATGCCAATTTGCCCCAAAGAACATTCAAATAATTCTGAAAATGAACGATGCTATTTATAAAAAAAACCACTAGTTTTTCAAAAATAATTGTACACACATTAGACTCGCTGCAATCATACCTTATCTGTTGGCGGCATTATAAGCATATAGAAATATAAATATGATGTCGAAACAGAGTAGTTGCCACATTCATAACGATATTTTGCTAACTTCACAAAACTATCCATCATTTCCACTCTAAACTATTAACATATAGTAAATAAATTATACACTTATAGTGTAATACATTATTTTGATGAAGATATTTTTTAGTAAAATAATATTATATTTTCTAGCATATAATTCTTCATCAATATAATTAATGAATGTTTAATGCTTTAATTTTAATATTTACTTACATCAGATTCTTGAGTCAGATAGTTATTTAATGCTTTAGAGTCTCGCATATTTTCCATCTTCTTCATAACTTCCTCATTATTCATAAGAGCAACAACAACTGATACATTATTTTGTAAAATACCAAGTTCCTGAAGAACCTCTTGTCGACGTGCTTTTAACTCCTACAACCAAAATCTTTGTAATTGTGTAACACACACATCTCTTTGTAATTGTGCAGAATTCCAAACAAAACATATAACTGGTTCATTAAATTTTAGGAGACAAATTTTAAACTAACTAGCACATCTCTCAGTAAAACACTCATGACAATTAGTCCTACCTCTGGTACTTCCAAGTTAGGATAAAGTTGTTTTCTGATATCAATAGTATAATCTATCATATTCGTCTTGCTAAGAATATCGAGCTTTGCTTGGAGCAATTCATCCTCATCGTAAATCTGAAAAGTATAATTATAACCAAAAAACACATATGGCTAAATGATCTTTTTGCATATTATACCTGTTTTGCAGATAAGAACTCCAAAAGGGGAAATACTAAATGTCGATCTAGATATTGACCTATACGTGATGTCAGATCGAATTTCGCCATTTCGATATTTCAAGAAAATTCAGTGATAACAGTTTTAATCACAAAATATCTTAGTTGAAAGGGACTGACCACGCTCCAATTATGTATGTTAGTATCAAAAAGTATAAAATAGATAGAACAGAAAACTACTGTACATACATGTCATGCCTCACCATAGTAAGACATTTGCTTCACGATAGTATATACATACAGGGTGACCAATGATTATGTTAACCCGGAAAGGGGTGACTCTTGAGGTCATTTGGAGTAACTTTCTCCTTAGCGAAAATACAATCCGCGGCTTTGTTTACGAGTTATTGACGAAAAGCACTGACCAATTAGAGGCGAGATCAGCTAACTCGAGACGGTCGAGCCAATGAGTGGAACTGGGTTTCGTGCGCTCTCGTTGGCTGGGCTGCCGCGGATTGCATTTTCCTTGTGGAAAAAGTTACTTCAAATAACCTCAGGAATCACTCCTTTCCGGGTGTTAACATAACACCCTATATAATGTACTTGTACAATTTCTACTTATCTCAATTCCAATGACAGGCTTATACTTTCGACCTACTTTGCGTTTATCGTTGGACGTTTCAGGGAGTCACAACCGCGTGATGATTTTTAGGCAATTTCTTGAAAAGTAGAATTAAGCAATTAAAAGTAATCACAGAATAATAATCAGTAATTCTTTGGTAGGTCATACAGTATGTTTTATCCATTATTTCAAAAATTTCGTATTATTAAAGGTCTCGAACCTTTCATAAAAGTCTCTAGGCGTTTCAAAAAAGTTTTTTGGATATTTCTCGAAAAGGATCAGTGAGCAATTAAAACTAATTGATGACCAATTATGGCTAATTAAAGAGCAATTTTTTGAGCTACGGTTCATTAATATTGGTGAGCCAGCTTCACACGAGTAGAAACAAGAACCATTGTACAATAATGGGTCTTATTTCTCCATACCTCTACAGCCGCGACTTGATCCGTTAGCGAGGGTCGATATAGAAATTTTCATTGCTGGGAATGTATGTGCCAGCTTAGGGAGTAAGAAAAGCGTGCAGGCGTAGGTTCCATTACTAGACATGTAACATAGAAGTAGGAGCTCTCTTCGTGTAAGATCAGGCAGTTGCGCTTGCGCTGCGAGCAGTTGCGAGTTGCGAGGAAATCGAAAAAATGGCGACTCGTCTGTTAAAAGTTAGTTCCGCGTTGCGGACTTACAGCAATAAATCTAGTGTCATAAAGGTAATCAAATTATCAGTTTACCATTCCTCGAACATCATTGGAATAGTTTGCAACAGATCTATGATATTCGCAGCATTTTGTCGAGATTTAATATTCGTGGACTTTATTTCCTCCTTACGTAATGGGAAGAAAATTGAAAATATTAGAAAAACAAAAAAGACATAATGAATTACTGTTTAAATGACAATAAGCATGGCTGCCTGAATTGAATTTTACTGTACACGGTGGAATACTTGTGTCAAAATATTATAACCTCGATATATTCGGCTCACTCCAAAGACAGTGTTACAGTGATTTGCTGCAACTGAATTTAGACAGTTCCAAGATACAATTGATTGACATGCTGATATACTTACACTTTACTTATGTTTACTTTTGAATCACTAGAAAATCTCTCCTTGTAAGTGAATTTTGGTACTAATTTCAATGATTATTTCATAGACACAAAAGCAATGGAGGTCTACAGCATCTTCTCTGAAAGAAATCCTTCTCAATCAGCCTATAACCAAAGTGACAACTCTAGATTGTGGTATGAGGATTGCAAGCGAAGACACTGGTGCACCAACAGCCACAGTAGGGCTATGGATTGATTCTGGCAGTCGTTTTGAAAACGACGAAAACAATGGCGTGGCTCACTTCATGGAACATATGGCTTTCAAGGTGAATTATACTATCCTGTTCCTAAGTCGAACATAGGTATGTAAAGTATTAATCGAATCTATTAATATCAAAAGGGGACTACCAAACGTTCTCAAACTGATTTAGAATTAGAAATTGAGAATATGGGTGCTCACTTGAATGCCTATACAAGCAGAGAACAGACAGTATTTTATGCTAAGTGTTTGTCGCAAGATGTACCAAAAGCTATAGAAATTTTAAGCGATATCATTCAAAATTCTAAACTTGGCGAAAACGAGATTGAAAGAGAACGTGGTGTCATTTTGAGAGAGATGCAGGAGGTTGAAACAAACCTTCAAGAAGTTGTTTTTGATCACTTGCACAGTAGTGCTTACCAAGGAACTCCTCTGGGCAGGACAATTTTAGGACCCACCAAAAATATCAAGAGCATTACAAGAAAAGATCTTCTAGATTATGTAAGGACATACTATGGTCCACCAAGGTAATTGTAAATGACATGTTTCCATTATATTTCTATTATACATGCACACTCAAATTTATTTCTTTTTCTCAGATTCGTTCTAGCAGGAGCCGGTGGTGTAGAACATAATGCCCTAGTAGAATTAGCCGACAAACACTTTGGTAAAATGACAGGACCGCACTACGATGAAATTCCACGTATAGATGTACCATGTCGTTACACTGGCTCTGAAATTAGAGTTCGCGATGACAGCATTCCTCTTGCGCATATAGCTATTGCTGTTGAAGGTACTGAAACTTTTATTTACCTGCATCTCTATTACACTGTTCAACAAATTTTAATGTTGTCCAGTGTTATTAAATATTAGGAATTTATAGACATTTTGTTGTAGGCGCTGGATGGGTCGACGCAGACAACATTCCTCTTATGGTTGCAAACACTTTAATGGGAGCGTGGGATCGCAGCCAAGGAGGTGGCGTAAACAACGCGAATCACTTGGCTCAAGCTGCAGCATTTTTAGGAATGTGCCACAGTTATCAAAGTTTCAACACATGCTACAAAGTACACGCTATTCTTATAGAATGATGTTACAAAGCGAGCTATTTTCTCCAAGTGTTTCTCCTTTATAGGATACTGGTCTATGGGGCGTGTATTATGTATGCGATCCCATGAAGTGCGAGGACTTCGTTGAAAACATTCAGTCTGAATGGATGAGATTATGCGTGTCGGTCACTGAAAAGGAAGTAGAACGCGCGAAAAACATTCTCAAAACAAACATGCTTCTTCAATTAGATGGTACAACCGCGATTTGCGAAGACATCGGTCGACAGATGCTCTGCTACAACAGACGTATACCTCTTCACGAACTTGAGGCCAGGATAAATGTAAGTAATGTTTATATATATTAATCATCTTTTATAAACTTTCTGTAACGAAAAATTCTTTTCAGAGCGTAACGGCTAAAACTATTCACGATGTCGGTATGAAATACATTTACGATCAGTGTCCGGTAATTGCAGCTGTTGGCCCAGTCGAGGCTCTGCCTGATTATAATGTAATACGATCATCCATGTACAGATTACGAATGTAAACGAATTCCTTTAATAGAACTTAAAACAACTCGCCCACAACGTCAGTTTCAATAAAAAATACTCGACATTAAATTGAAACTACAACTATATAGATCGTTTTACTTACATGTGAATTATTGTTACAATTTATCCCGGAATATTTATTAAGCAACTTGAAATATATCATGTAAGTTTTTATGTACATCGTAACGGTACATTGTAGTTTCATTTTAGTAATTGTTCGACAATTTGTCTCCTGCCATACGTGTATCGTCAGGCTGAAATAAAACAATTGATCTACAAGAAGTGTATCTTTTGGTTCATAACATGGAAAAAGAAACAGATTCATGTTTAAAATTGGAATCATTTGACGTTGTCGTTCGTAATATTTATTTTTTATTTCCTAGCTCATTATATATAATAAACAAATTTCCATGTTGTAAACATACTTATTGCTTTAATAATTTGTACTCTTTCTATTTTTGTTATTTGTTCTATTTTTTCTTTTTTATTTCGGTATCTTTTATTCCATACAAAATTGTTACAGTTCTCAATGCAACTGTTAAAATACTACACAATTATTTAAGAGGCGCAAAATTATATATACAATTATGTAGTTCTATGTCGATATAAATAATGTAAAATTGTTTCATAAAATTCGATACCTAAAATTATAATTTCATCACTGAGCTGTGAAGATAAAATTACTATGGGCATAGTTAGAATTTATTGCTATGACTAAGTATCCACAAAATCATGGATGTAAAGCTTCCAAAACCTTATTATAT